AGCAACAAACAAACACGAAGCACCTTGAGCGCTGAAACTCTTTCATGCGCTAGCCTGGCCGGCACACTGCGCACGCTCCAGGAAAGAACACTTTTGCCCCCCGAGAACGCGAGAAGACAACAATGGGCACTGTTGCGCGCCGATAGTGAACACTTTTATTCGCGGACAAACACGCTTGCTCGCCAATCATGAACACTTTTGTGTGCGAACAGTGTATGCGCCAACACTGAACACTTTTACGCGCCAACAATGGATACGCGTGTGAGCTAGCAAGGAATACTTTTGCGCGCCGACGGTGACCGCGCTTGCGCGGCAACAATGAACACTTGCGTGCGCAGACACTGGATACGATGATGTTCCAACAAGGCACACTCTTGTGCGCCGACAGTAAACACACTTGTGCGCCAACGACGGGCACTTTTATGCGCCGACAGTGGCCACGCTTATGCGCCAACGAGAAACACTCCTGTGCGCCGACATTGGACACGTTTTTTGCGCCAACAAGGAACACTCTTGCGCGCCGACAATGGAGACGCTTATGAACACTCTTGCGCCCGACGGCGGACGCGCTTTTGCGAGCATTTCGCTCGGCCCGGCGGTCTGGCAACACCGGGGGACAAATGAAGGCACGCGCTGGGAGACAAATAAATGCGCACACTGGCGAGCATGTGGCCGACTGGCACGGCCCGGCGATCTGGCAGCGTTGGGAGACAAAGAAAGCACAGCCTGGAAGACAAGTTAATGCGCACACTGGCAAGCACGCGGCCCTGAATCTGGCAGCACTAGGAGACAAACGAAGGCACGTGTTAAAAGACAAGGAAATGCGAACACTGGCAAGCATGCGGCCCGGCGATCTGGCAGCACTGGGAGACAACTGAAGGCACATACTGCGAGACAAGAAATGCGCACACTGGCATCTGGCAGCACTGGGAGGCAAATGAAGGCACATACTGGGAGAGGTAAATGCGGCAGCACTGGGAGACAAATGAAGGCACATACTGGGACATAAGCAAATGCGCACACTGGCAAGCATATGCCCAGCGATCTGGCAGCACTGGGAGACAAATGAAGGCACATATTGGAAGACAAGAAAATACGCACACCGGCGAGCAGGCGACCCGGCGATCTACAAATGAAAGCAAATACTGGGAGACAAGTAAATGCATACGCTGGCGAGCATGCGGCCCGGCGATCTGGCAGCATGCGGCCCATCTTTTAGAAGAGTAAGAACCCCAACAGTGTTTTTTTTGGGGGGAAAAGAGCTGACCGGATTTGTGCCCTGGGCCTTCAGTGTGCTTGATCTCGGGTTGGCAGGTGGCACCCCAGCCGAAACCGCAGCCACTGACATCGCTGATGGGGTGCCATGCACCGCAGTCCGAGTGCACCAGTCCATTGTTCGACCAGGTACCGGTGAAGGTGTCCTAGAGGCGCTTAGCGAAAGAAGTGTGGTGGGCCCGAAAAGTGATCCGGGGCAAAAACGGGCATAAACGGGACAACTGGCGGGGATCAGGACTCTTGCACATGATCCCAGGCAAACTGGAAACAAGACACAGATTGGGAATCTGGCGTCCAAGCAACAACCACACTTATCGCAAGACGATGAAGCGCCCACAGCACTTGGGAGCAAAAGGCATGGAGTGGTCTGCCAAGCTCGGCTTGGAAAGCCTGACATGTCTGGACTTTTTGAGGGCACTGATCCTGTCAACCAGAAGGTCATCCTTGGCTCACAGCGGCAGCAACCCTTGCAGGCATGCGCTGACCCAACTCTTTAGCAATTCGGTTGATTGAATGGTCTCATTGTTTTCGTTTCTTTCTGTCACAGACACACAAGCACACAAACGCAGCCACAGGGACACAGCGAGACATAGAGACACAGAGACACAGAGACACAGAGACACAGAGACACAGACACACGCGCACACACGCGCACACACACACACAAGCACAAGCACACGTATGTTTGGAAGCTCCAGCATGGCCTAGCATTCCTCTGAAAGAGTGGAAGCATTCCTCTGAAAGAGTGGAAGCTACGCGGGATCGTCAGTTTTACGAAGAGATGTTGCGCGGTTGCCGTCTTTTGTTGACTGAGGAAACCATCGCCATCGTTAGGTGTGGCGACATGCCATACCAGTTGGGAAGTAGGAACCCCAAGCAAGTCCCTGAGATGGGCATGTGGAGTTTTGGAAGGGGATGTGCCCAGGTGCCTGGAACTGCACGACCCCGTTGTCGCTCTTCATGGCCACGACCAGGTTGCCGCCGGCAGACTTGTCCGTGAAAACGATGCCTTTGCCAACGGGCAAAAAGCAAAGGTCCCATCCTCAAACACATTCGTGGTGGTTGAAAGGGAAGCACCGAGTCCTCCAAAGTCATGTTAGCCTCTCAAAGTGCAACTGTTTGTTTTGAGCAGGCCCCTCTGAAAGCCACACAAGGATACTGGGCTGAGTTGCAAGAGCGGATGTACTTGGCGTCCGGGTAAGACCACGTGGCCAGGCCTGTGTTCACCTTTCGAAGGCAGCAACAAAGATGCGCCAGCTTCACTACATGTACAAGCAAGTCAAAATTATCCAGGCTTGGCGTTTTTTGCAGCGGGAATCCCCCTTTTTGGATGTTTCATAAATTGCGCTGGTGGTGCATTGGTGAGCTCGCGTGATGGTGGGCGACATGTAAGGGATCCCTGCATAAGTTGGCGCAGGGCCAAGGGGGCACCAGTCTCGATACAGCCTTCATCTCTGAGCGCCTGACACGCTTCCAACTCTCGTAGTATCCGATTTGATACCAGCTGTTTGCAGCCACCACCTGTGCCATGGTTGAAGACTCGTGGCATGGTCACGGTTTCATGAGGCATTCCCAAGATCATGCGTGCGCATGTGCATGCTTGAAGATCTACCTTTTTGACGATCGCGATAGTTGCCATTCTGCTGCAGAACATCTCTCTTGAAAATAATTCTCCAATCGCTCCTCACCAGAGACACACAAATGCAACCTCAACGCGCACTTTGGGCGGCTTTGATGTTTCAGAGCCCCATACATGTTGTACCCACACACCCGTCTAGGTGGCTGGAACAGTGCGAGGGAATCTCACCTGGTCAAAGTGCACGGGCAGGTCGAAGCGTCCCCGAAAGGCCCGCGAGTGTGCGGGGTCGTTGCTGCCCATCTCAAGCTCAAAGCTCTTGATGTACCTCGATGGAATCTTCGGGAAAGTCGGAAGTCTGCATGGATCGTCACGCTTGCAGCAGGCAACGTCCAGCAAAACACCCTCCCCATTTTGGCCCAGGAAAACATGTCACAACTTTGGATCTTGCCCTCCTCCGACTTGTGACAAACGCAAGTGGCTGATGGCTTGTTAGCCCACTGGCATGTCTCCTTGGCTCGCCGGACTCCGCAAAGGCCAGAATCGTCTCGACTCGGCCTTATGACCTGCAACCCAAATCCGCATGATCCTGATGATGCTGCATGGGGCAGGCGTCTTGAACTGGTTTGCCATTCCCCTTTGACCGGCTTCACCAGCCTCAAGTGCTCTGCAAATGGACCTTTGTTTTTTGCTGCTGGGGCGGCACAGGTTGTCCGTACAATGCAAAGGCGCTGTCAAAATCCTGATTTGCACATTCCAATCTCTGAGATGCACCAAAAACACGCTGACGTGTGGGACATGAACCAACCGGTCACATGAGCAAGGGCCAATGGCAACGACTTAAGCGATTCGCGTGATTCGCAAGATCCTACACAAGCTTGTCCAGCATTCCAAAGTCTAAAGCAGGTTCGTACTTGATTGCCTCAGGCAACTCAGCCCCGATCGCCGTCCAAGGTACACGTCCGCCCCTGCATGATACTTCCATTGCAGTGCGCAGGAATTATCCCAGCCCCAGCCGCAGTAGACGCTTGACAAGTCGTGCCAAACGCCGCACTTGTGGTGAAACAGCTGTGTGCCAGAGTAGGTGTTCACAAAGGAGTCCGTGAACTGCACAGCGCCGCTTGCCTGAGCCAATGCGTTTCTGCGCGTTGAGAGGACCGATACCCTGTTTTAGGTCGCATACCCTGGTTTAGGTCGGTTTCAAGGGAAACCAAAAAGAAACACGAACACATTTTTTGCACAGAGCCTCTTGAGCCTTCTTTGCATCATGGCTCATAGAAAGAGATGGGAGCGACAGGCAAAGAGCGCAATGCCTGTTTCTAGGGGCGCCCGCTGCTGGTTTCATTGGCGGCGGAGGTTCGCAGTAACCTGAACTTGAGGTTGGAGCCATGGCCAAAGCCTCACGTGATGCATCTCGGCCTCTCCGGTGTTTGAGCGGCGATCATTAAATGAAGGAGCATCGGTGGAAAGTCGTCAACAAGTTGCCGACGGCGAGCCTCGACAAAGTTCCGGAGGCTATGTCACCCTCAGCGAGAAAGCCCTGGAATGCGTGGCGAGAAGATCATCAAGTTGCTGGATGAGCGCTTTCCCCAGCACAAGAAGGCAAATGAGATTCCAAAACAATCTGGGCGAGCCGAAGTCGTTGCCATCTGGTTGCTCTTAGGTTCTGCACCGACGAAGGCTTGTGATGGGCACGGCCTGTCTACAGGTTGCCGACAGGACTCTGGTGGTGGGGCAGCACTTGCATGTGAGCGTGAGGAGGAATGGTTGCATGATATCAACGACGCTTGGCGAGCGCAATTGTGCACGATAGTGAGTCGAGAGAGGCCCCAGCATTGTGCAAATGCGAGGGAGGTCGACCGACAGTCGACTACAGAGAACCTTGTTTCTGCAAGATGCATTGGTCAGGCAGTAACAAGAGCGAGGACTCGGTAAAGTTGTGAGTTCTTCGTCGCACCTTGGCGCCAGAGCATGGCCTGACACAAGCAGCGTCAACAAGATGTCAAGCGCGCATGCAAAACTGAATGAAACATTTGCGGCGTGTTTCAGATATGCCGCCAGTGTGCCAACTGCTGGCTCCAAGTGACAGCGGAGGCTTCCCATCCTATGTGCAACATGTTCGCCTTAAGTACCCCGTTTGCATGCTGTGGCGCTACTTCCCGGGCAAGCACAGGTTTCTTTGAAGTGGAAAAACGTGCAAGGACTACGTTTTTTGCAGAAGCGTTTGCCAAGCAACATGAGAAAATGAGGGCATTCTGAGTTGTACCGGTGGTTTGGTTGCACCCCCCCCAAGAATACCTGCAGCGCCTTAGTGAGACGCCGCAGGCGCTCTGTGAGCACGATTGTTTTTCTATTGTCGATCCATGCCGATTGGCGCACGGTAGGGTGGCGAGGCTTTGGGAGTGGAACGCTATTCACACACCCCACGCGGCGTCGTTGATTTGCAGCGTTCCGCGCAGACGCCGACAGCGCGATCGTCAACTATAGTGCTTCATCCCGATTGACTACATTAAGCAGCCTCACCCAGTTTTCCTTTGTCCTCGTTCTGCAGCACACGGCTAGAAATGCACTGCGAAAGAACGCTCCGCGGAAAGAAAAAGCCCGTGCTTTGCAAAAGAGTTCCCGGAAGGTCGGGGAAGTGTGTCGTTCGGGGGGGTGAACAACGTTGAAGTTCACCAACGACAAGTGCTCTGAATGCCAAACTGGCCTTACGGATGGTGGATCAATAGGACGACGCATTAGCTCATAGCTCGTCCCGCCCCATAAGAAGCCCGGCTGACCTAGCCCTCCACCAGTTTCGTCGACAAGTATTGCAGTTGCCCCCCCCTTTAAGGTCCAACGAGCCACGCTTAATTTGTAAGCTTGCATTTATATTTCGAATGTGCATTGTGCCACTTGTACAGAGAGCCAACCGAATTCGACTGGAATGAAATGGATATGTAAATATATATATAAATACATATATCTCTCTCTCTCTCTCGCCATCTGATCTACCAGAGACCCGTGTAGAACGCTGAACGAAGATATTATACCCAGAATCCACGGACGTGTCTTGGGTGGAACACTTCAATGATAGCACCCCCACGCTTGCCCGGCCGGTGCCCCTCATTGGCCTTCCAGCACAGGATTCCGAATCTCGACATTGTGCTCTCTCGGATATTTTTGGACTGTCTCCATGCAACCCTTTACGATTGTCAATGTCCCTCCCGCTAGTGGGGTATTCTGTGACGCAAACACTTTGATAGCTCCTTCGCGAACCAAGCATGTCATCAGAACAGAATTCCTCGAGGGCGTCTTTCGGGGTTCTAGAGTCATCATTGGGAACATCACAGAGTTCTCCGAACTCTTCCTGCTTGTCGGACAGTGTGCAAACCCACCCGTATTCCGGGATGTTGTCCGTGACGGCCCCGTAGTAGCCCTCATACTTCTGCTCGGCCACGCGTTTGCAGAATCTCTTGTCCGAGCATTGCTCCTGGATGCCGTGCTCCAGCTCTTGGTAGCCCAAGCTCGGTGTTCTTGTGGCTGCTGAACTTGATATCTATGTTGTCTTTCAGCAACGAAGGAGCAGCCGATTTGCGTTGTCAAGGCCCCGGTCGTGCAAGTGTTCGTCAGGATATTCACGATTGGATTGTTTTCCTCGGAGTCGACATCCATGTCTTCGTGGCCCCATTCTTTTTCTGCCCGTGCTGCTTGCAGGTTTCGGACTTTCATAGAGACGCCCTCCTCTTCTTCTACGCCGACGGCAGCGTCCGCTTCCTCGCGAGCCTCTCTCACCCGTCTCGATTGGACAAACACGATCACTCCATGCGTGTAGAAGTACCCTTCGCAAACCTGCAAGACGTGAACGAAGCACGCCTTCAGTTCAAGCAATTTGGACATTGCTTGCCCATACCATCGGTTGCCCAGCTTCTTGTTTAGGGCGAGATTGCGACAGTTGGACATGGCCGCATTGTACTCCTCTTTGCCCCTGACAGCAATTCCTCTTGGGTCTCCAGGTTAATTCTTCATGTTCCACCATCATTCGGGACGCAACTTCCCTGCCACAAGCTGTATCAGCGTCTTTCCTCCCACCACAGCTTTGGGAAAGGCACCTCGTCCTGGTCATGTCCTTGATCGGTACACCACTATGTGCTGCTCGCCTTCGATCGGTCGTAGGACAGCTCAGTGGCGCTGATGGCGACCCGTCTGCAAACTCTGCGAAGCCATCGAAGATCGGCCAAAGGTGCTGCGCAGCATCCTGGAAAAGGAACGAAGATTTGTTGTGTGTTGCACATGCAGCCACGCGTTCGTAAACTCTGCCGCGGGTGCCAAATAACCAGTTGATCTCGCCATACTGCACTCTGCGCCGGTGTTCCTCACTGGTCTTCCAACATAGGATCGCAAATCGCGGCGTTCGCTGCGGCGCGCGTGACACACATCTCACTTCGACCACAGTAAGGATTTGCGGCCCCGCGGGTTACCATGTGCTCCAAGCAGTTTGCCTCGTTCTTCAACGCGCCTTTTTTCCTCATCACACCTTTTGCATCTTCTATTCCCAACTCTACTTCTTCTTCATCACTCCTGTCTCCCTCAACATCCTCAGCGTCCTTGGGGTTGAACGGCCCTCAACGGCTCCGCTGCTTGAGCAGACCCCACATTGTTGCTTCCATGGCTTCTCCTGTAAGTTCACCCACTGGGCCGTGATCATGGTCGTTGTTCGTCGCCAGAAATGGGAAGTTGTCCTTCACTCGAAGACGTGTGACTCTTCGGCAATCATCAATTGTTACAGGGTCTTTTCCAAATTAAGGACTGATGGGGACTCCTCCATGAAGTAAGGCGATACGGTGTCGGTAACGACGCCTGTCGAGCTCGTGCTCTCCCTCGGACTATCATGATGTTTTTGCAAAGAGTTCGTCATACCTCTCATTCACATCCTCCAGTTCCACCCGCACTTAGACGCTGATGGGTGATCTGAAGTCATTCATTGTTCTCCTCCTTGATGTGGATGTTGCTTTCCTCAGATCGTAGTCTCCCCTGAGCGATCCCAGCAGGCGTCGATCTTCATGCTGCCGCGAGTTCTAAGTTCATTCGTGGCGTGATGTAGCGATGCCTATACCTCGTCGTGGTTCTCGGACTTGTACCTTTCGGTCGCTAGATCACACGCGTCCTTCTTTCTCCCATCAACTTGAGCTTCGAGTGCCTGAATAAAATTATCTCCAAACCAGTAACCCTCCGAATGCAACCTGCCTCATCGGTCCGTAGCGCCTAGATTGTGGATTCCACGGTAGCACATTTACTCTGCAAAGGTCGTGTTTCATCGTGCTGCCCAGCTGCTTCGTTCATGTGTCGTTCTGTCTTCGCTTTGTGCTTGCGCAATTCTTCTTTAGCTTGTTCATCTGCGTTCCCAGGACCTGCCGTTGGCTCCCTCGGGGATGATGACCTGTCCGGAATTTGCGGGCTTGTGCCCTATCCCCATTCCGAAATTGTCTCGAGAAGTGTAGGAGCCCCGAGCGATTGTAAGGTTCAGCAATATGGGACGGTGGGAGACCCCTGTCATCTTTACTGATCTACGTCTCACAGCTCGTGGGAGACCCCTACGGCTGATAACCTGAGAAACCGAAGGCATTTCTGATTTGTACCGGTGGTTTGGTTGTACCACCCCCCAGAATACCTGCAATGCACCTTAGTGAAATGCCGCAGGAGCTCTGTGAGCACGATTGTTTTCTAATTATTGTCGATCCACGCCGATTGGCGTAATTCTTGAGCCAAACGCCACGGTAGGGTGGCGGCTTTGGGATTGGAACACTATTCACACAACATGTAGCAAAACGATGCGTGCATTTGAATTCAGAAGCGCATGGGTCTGTTTATCCAAAGTTAGGGTGGGGTTAGACGGGCGACCGGAGCTTGGTGGCTCAGCACCATATTCTAGTTGCTCCTAGGTTTCAACCGTTGGTTTCAACCCGTTTCCCACCCCAGCATCTCTATGGGACAGGCCTTGGTCGGCAAGCAAAAGCTGGCAGAGGTTCTTTGCTGAATGGAGTTGATGTAGTGCAAAGCATCTCTCAATGCACAAAAAAAATGAGACACCTTACAAGGCTTCGGGAGAAATATGTCTGGACTCTGTCAAACAGGTTCTTGATGCCTGGAGTGCGTTGCACTTGCCGGCACTAGCACCAAATTCTAAAGAAGAAAAAAAGCATCAGCAGATTGTGAAGACGTTCGCTGCTAACAAAACGGGACAGCTCCTGGCCTTGTTCGGAACTCCGACCGATGGCCCCCCCCTGAACTTGTTAACCAGCCGTGCCAGGTGCCCAGGATGCCAGCTGCAGCAAAATACAACAAATACAAAACTAATGCCATTGCAAACGATGTGCATGGATCATCCGCAGCTGCAGGCTCCCCGAGGTTGCACTATCACTAAAGGTGATGCAGGCGCGAACCCTGGTAGCCTCAGGGTAGTAGTCATTCTTGGCCCAACCATACTTCCTCAGCTCAAGCAGTTGAGACTCTTTCTCCTCCTTCAGGAATATGTGTCCTTCATGTTGTGCGTTTGTCATTGATTGATTTTGTTGTTTTCGCCGTGTGCTTGTCATTACTTCTTCATGCTTTCTTCCTGCTGCGTGTTTCTCTTTGAACTTCCGTACTTGTGCTTGCTTGCTTGGCTGAGCGATGGGTCTGCTGTGCATCGAAACACACAACCACAGGACCTGAAACCCATGCTGCACTACGTGTTGCACCCCTCCAAAACCTGGAGTTGCATCAGATTTGCCACATAGCCGCATGTGTTGTTTTGCTCAGCTCAAGTTGCATCATAACAATCGAGCATTTGCATGTGCTTGTTTGTGTGCGTGATGTGAGCTTGGAGCTTGCTGTCTGGGCCAAGCATCAACCCGGATACGTATGTCCAAGTGCCGGCGTGGCTGGTCACGTGCAAGTTCGCCGGAAACGTGGCGCGTCCAACGAAACCTGCCCACTGCGACAAGTTGATGTCAGCGGGACTTATCACATACAGCAAATACCAAAAGCAGAAACTTGCAAAGCCGAGGGGGTCTGGGCTTAGGGCGAAGCTTTGCTGAGGGGATCAAAAGCTTGTGTTGAAGGTGGGTCTCAACCTCAGAAAACTAACGGTTTGTGTTCTCGAACACGTCCAGCCAAACGCCTGCCGAATCTCCACAAAAAAGAAACTGCCGCGCCTTCGGTCTGGGCCGGATTGGTATTGAAGAGGTGCTGCATGTCCACTTTGCCCACGGCGCCCCGACCCCAGCAGTCCACCATGGCGTTGCGGAGACGGTGCCCCGCCTCCTCGTGGTGCTTGGTGTGGATCCTCGCTACACGCGACCGGCTCCCCCTGCTCTGGCGACCTACAACCCAAGCCATCCACGAGAGTCCCAGAACTACTGAGCAAGTGATGCCAACATGACAAAAAGGTGTAGCTCTGTGGGGCAGAATCATTATCTTTCCAAAACGCTGCTGAAGGGATCGCAGCCGCAGAAAGACAAACAAATGCCCAACGTGGGTCATGGAAATGAATGGAGCGCTCAGAAAATGCGGCCTTTGGAAAAACCGTCTTTGCCACGTGAGAACTCGCTGCTTGTTTTGCATTTGATCTCCTTGCGGGCAATTGCTCCCTGCCTTTCTGAAAATCCCTCAACTCACAATAACCCTCGACAAAACCACAGACACGACAATCAAACACCAACGAAACCAGCAAAATAGAACCACTCCCTCTCCTCCACAGCAGGCCGGGCAAGTCATCTATGGGAATCTGCTGCGCCGCGTCTGCGGGGCTGCAGTTCTGGTGGATGGCTATGGGGAGGTCCCCCGACATAGACTCCGCCAGGCACTGGGCGCGGCCGTCCACCAGATCCAGGAACTTCACCTAAGAAAGAAAAGCTTGTCGCAACGCAGACCGAAGAGCAAGGCAGCTACAACGAAAACCAAGGGGGAAGTTACACTCGGTTCGAGTCCAGCTCTCAGGATCAACGGGCAAAACGACCTCGGGAAACCGCACCTCGCGGCTGTCACTGTCGGTGATGCCCGTGAAATTCACGATGAGTGAAGCTTCGCAAGTGTCCTCCCAGTCGTCAAGACTCTGGGCCTCTCCATTTAAAACCGCATGTGATGCCTCAGCCGCCGATTAGGCAAAAACCCGAACGCCTGGAGTGAACCCGTCAAACGCACCGATCGAATCCAAAAACCGCCCTCTCTCCTGCATCACCATCATCAGATCTTCCGTGCCAGAGCCGAAGCGCAGGCAATGCGCCTGGTGCGCCAAGCTTTTGACATGAACTCGAAGCCGGAAAAATGGCTCGCACTTGCGTCCCAAGTAAATTGCCGGCTCTCATATGTCGGCCTTGATAGCTGAAATCTGTGGTTGAAAGCATGGCTTGCAATAGCGAAACTGCACCTTAGCATCGGACCAGAAAAACACTTCTTGACAGCGGTCGTTGCTGACCATCTTTTCCTGTACCTTTATTGCTCCGTTGCTCATGGGAAGCTTCTTGCTCCCTAAGCCGTTCAACCAACATTGGGTGTGGGCTCTTGTCACTTGCCACTGCACTACTGCGCTTTTCTTCCGCCTGGGTGTAGCTCTTGTCCAGAACCTCAGTGGAAAGCCTCAGCTTCATCCGGTTGAAGAACCACAGCTCCTGTTCGTTCCGCCGCTCCAGGTCCTTGTACCCAGAGCCACCCACCTCGCACCAAGGAGACTTGACACAATCCACCGGGGTGGTGTCTTGTCATATGCGAGGATACATAATTACTGCCCCTTGGCTCCTATGGTCTTGACTGAAATTGATTTTGAAGCACCCCAATCCCCTATTAAAATGATTTGGCCCTCAACAGCCAAGCCTCCTGTGCTACAGTTGGACGCTGTCACCACCTCTTGGAATCAGCGTGGGCATGTGCTTTGGGCTATTGCAGACTTGGTAAGGCAAACCAAACCACAAACGGGCCCAGAAGGCACAAACGCTTCCTTGCTGTGTCAATGCAACTGACGTTCACTGCTCCGCCCTGAGTCTGCCACGCGAACGCATCTGCTCTAGCGCTTGCTTGCTTTACCTACTTTGCAAGGCTATCTTTATAAAGAGGACTACATCATCCCTTCCCGATTTCAGGACTTGCTGAAGTATCGTTGCGCAAACAATCCAAGAGAGCTCTGACGGGCTTCCCCCCCTCGCCCCTGGCAATCTGCTCGTGCCGGGTGCCGCCTGCACGCATGCCTCGCAGGAGAAGGAGCCGAGCTCAGGCTGGTTCTGGCCATTGAACCAGCGCCCGTTCACACAGAACAGTGTGGCCTGGCCGTCAACACACAATCGAAGCCCAAAGGCTTGTGCGCACAACGCAAACCTCTGGCTTGGTGGTCGGTGGAAGCCGGCTGTGACACGGGCACAATGGTCACGACTTGAAATATCGAGCCCTGTCCAAATCAAAAGTGCAGGGGAATTCTCAAACCAACATTGGCTTGCTTGCAAATTTGAAAAACTATCATGAAGTCAACATGGGCGATGAGCATAGAACATGTTCCAGTTCCGGCGTGCGTTCTATTTTCTTGTTGGTCAGACTGCATAATAGTCAATTTGGTATCCCTCAATGATGTCCACTAAAGAGTCCAACCAATGAAATGTCACACCCATACAAATCCAACAATATGCAGCAAGAAGTAGAATGGATGTTGATTTCTTTAAAAAGAAGTCTCGCCTAGCCACTTGCGATTGCATTTCATCTCATCGACTAAGCAACGCTTACAAAATCCCGATACAGAACACTTCCATTTGACAGAAGAGAGCTTGTTTGGCAACCTCCCCAGCCTTGGCGTCTTACCCTGACCCTTTTCAAGTTCCTGAATCTGTAGCTCCCTGCGTGTGCCTCCCTGCCAATCAAGAACCCGCCAGTGCCATGCACAAAGTCAAAAAACTCAAACCCCTCAAAACCAACATCCCGAGGGATGGCTGCAAAATAGACCCTAGGTATCCAACCCACTCCCCCCCCCCCCCCACCCACCCCAACCCACCTGCCTCGCTGGCTGCGCCGGAGCCCATGAGCCCACTGTAGCGCTCCGTCCAGCAGGAGACCTCTCCGAATGTTCCGCCGTCGATCTGTGCGACTGGCATGGAGGAAATTCCACCCGCGGCTCATTGGCCGCCTTTTTGTCCTGGGCATAGTCTCTGGCATCATATATCCAACATCCCTGACATCTCACTTGCATCATAAAACGAGGGTATCATATTTGAGTGAGGTTGCCATGATTCAGTTGAGGCCGCTCACATTCATGACCTCTACATCACCTAGACATGTCCTCTTTGAGTCTTGGGGAGTTCATCCGTTCCCAGTCCCCTCTGAAAATCCCATCATTCCAAGACTCCAAGAGCGACCCTACATCTCCGAATGGTGTCAAGAGTGGCTGCCCCAGCCCCGTGCCTTCAGCTGTGTGCCATGCAGAAAGCTGTCCGGGAGCTGCATCTTGTGCTCCCAGGCGTGACTGGTGATGTCCCCTGAGCACAATGCCCGGCGAGGGCCAGAAGGCGGTTCCCCGGTGGACCCGTAAGCAAGGCTGTTGCTCGACCAGCGTGGTACGCACGAATCAGAACACCCGGACCACAATCTTGGGATGTACGGGGAACCGGGCTGCGATCTGCCCCTGGCTGGAAAGATGCAGAGACTTCTTTTTCGGTCGCGATCTGTTGCTTGGGTTCCAGTATCTGTTGCATGCAGACTGGCTCAGGGCCCTAGGGTTAGCCTTTGAACTACACGTGATTGGCCAAAGCACCTGCGGAAGTGGAGCTGTGCGAGAAAACGTTTAAAAGCCGACGAATACTTAATTTCATTTTGCAACAAGTGCCATTTAGTATGGTAAGATTTGTCTTCTCCATAGCAAGGAAGAAACATAGAAGATGTTGGCAAGGGCACACTTCACTTCCTAGGAAACACGGCTTGGAAGCGTCGCCTACGGGCAGTTGAGACAAGCACGCTCCGGTTGGCTTGACAAACTTGTTTTTGGAGCAATCAAATTCTCGCACATCTTTTGAACACTCATAGCGAGTAAAGATGTTCATTGTTGTTTGAGCACGCGCGCAAGCTCGAGCGTGTAGCAGTCAGAATATTGAAAAAAGTCACCTTGCAATACCTCACAATGTTTCCCAAAGCTACGTAGCGCGAGTTTGCGTCTCGCATGCCGTGCAACATGTCATTTGGAATAGACGAAACGCACGAAAAGCGTAGCCGGATGAAACCGTTGCGCAGCTTTTGCAGCCTTTCTCTGAAGTTCAACACGCAAAGAGCCATTTTGCACCAAAAGACAACGATTTGTCCACCTCAGGTTGTCTAACCATGTCACGAACGCAGGGCATCATTCAGGCTCCGCCACCAAGATTTCTTGGTGTGGGTGATTTATAGGCTGTAGACATCTACCCTGTGGACTCTCTCAAAATTGGTGGCAACCAAAGCACAAATGACTCTCAAGTTACACGGAAAGCCACACTTGCCGGTACCGAATCTCGTGCGGCACTTCCACTCCCGTCAAATAAATTGACTTTCGAGGGCGTGGCAAAGCATAAGTGCTGTGTCACTAGGGCGATGTGTCACTAGGGCGAACAACCGAGCCAGCCTTCCATAGGAAGAGTTGACTGCATTTCTGGCTAGCATCATTCAAAAATGTTCAAACCCCGCAGTCATCTGAGCAGTTTCATTTCAAGCGGGTCCACGTTTCAAGCGGGTCCACCAAGCATCACAACCCCAGGCACCCCACCCAGGACAAACGTACGGGGAGCAACGAAGGCAATCCCTTGTTTCAAAAAGATGTGCTCGGGAGCCGCATTCTTGCGTTTGCTCGGCATTTCACGACTTCATCTTTCAAGCCTATTCTGCGGGGCCCCGGGCGGTAGGTGGGCCGGGCGCAGGCGTCCACGCCGCCGCCCCCGAGAAGCAGCTGCTCGTCGCACTGCTGGTGCAACTCCCAGTACCAGAAGGGCTGCCTCGGGGCCAAAGATGGTGGTGGGCACAAGCCCATGTAATCACCCGTATGGTCGTATGGTGGCGCTCCTTTGATTCCCTTTGAGCCAACCTGAAAGGCCCACCTTCAAAACACAAACGTTATGCCGCTCCTAGCCGTCCCACCCGCTCTCGCTCAAAGCCGCGCCAAGCTGCGCCCGGCCCGCGGTGAGGCTGGCCCGGCGCAGGCTGGTGGCCCAGCACAACTCGGGGTCCGCCACTTGACAAGCCTGCGGGTTTCGCAGCCCGCACAACAGTCAGAACACATGGTCCGCCACTTGACAGGCTTGCGTCTCAGAGTCTCAAAACACAAAGGGGTTTGCCATTGGCACGAGGGAGCGAAGTAGCGGGCGCGCTTATCATTTGCGGGTGGAGATTCTATCAGGAGCGCAGTAGCCCGGGTATGCTTCATGATTTGGCAGGCGAGTGCAGTCTTCCGGAAGGTCGCGACCAAGACGCCGAACAAACACTAGAAAACTGCCAGATCTTTGAGTTCAACCATGGCATCTTGTTGTCCGCGATCGCTGTCCAGAGACACGCTCCCCACTGACTCGCGGCCCACAACAGTTCTGGGACCTGGCCCCATGTTTACGTCTTCAAAGGGAGATTCCTCTGTGCTTGTTTGTTCTCAAGGGTTCCATGTCAATATGCGGGGAAGATTTGCCACAGGGAACCAAGGAACCCCCCTAGTACTGGGTCACACGATACGCCCAAATTGATGTGGACCAGACCTTGACCGGCATTGCCCCATTCTCCATTGTCATTATGTCACGCCATTGGCCGCTGTGCCCAACCCCTACAATCATTTCGCACATCGATCATAACCTGGGGCTGTTCCTTGCGTATTGAAGTCTGATGTTTGGAGCTCTGTCTTGCATTATTAGAAACGTGCTAATGCTGGTGCTGGTGCTGGTGCTGGTGCTGGTGCTGGTGCTGGTGCTGGTGCTGGTGCTGGTGCTGGTGCTGGTGCTGGTGGGGGCGGCAGTCAAAGTGGGGGTGAGGACCGGGGGAGCCCCTCCAAGGCGCACCTCGCTCCCGGCGACGCCCGCTCCGCAAGCGTCATAGCAAAGCACCACTTAACGTGGGAAACAACAGAAAACACACAATCAGTGAAACAGACTCGGAAGCGGAAAACATGCCTCAGCGATTCTTCTGGATGGTGGAAACCAGCAAGAACCCGGAGAAAACGATCATCAGCATGGGCAGAATCTGACTGACAAAAAAATAATATGACTCTGCGATCGCAAATGTTTATTTTTCTATTGGTCCTCAAGAACAAAGTATGACGTGGATTCTGGAAAACAACCAAAAACACGCAAACAACTGAGCAATATGAACTAATTCACAATCAAAATCAGGCAGCATAGAAAATATCGATGGGAAAAACTGGACCTTCAGTCTGAGTGCTCCGTTGATCGATAGCAAGTTGCGGAGCTATGACCAGCCGAGTCTCAACTGATTCTAAGCTGAATCTGCAATAACAGGCCTTCTGGGATTGGCATCTTTGGCTTGATCGCTTTTCCCATTGTCCAAGCCCTTCCTGGGTAGGTGAGATTTCCGTTCCCCCTTCACTCCTCCCCTCCTCCGTCCCCTCTCCCCTCTTCCCCCTCCCACCACTCTCGCGCCTGGGAGCGCGGCACGGCTTCCAGCTTGCCCTCCAGGCCCAGCTCCCGCACCAGGTGGGGGCACGCCGAGTACAGGCGGCAGGTGTTGGCGCCCTACGAGGCGCATGAAATCCGATGGAATCTTTATACATTCCCTTTCGTCAAGAACAATGGCCTGAATTCCTCCCTTTTTCAGGGAACTGAGATGGCCCCTCTCTCCCTACCGTGCTTCCATCGAGGCTGCTTGATTCCCCCAAATGACATTGACATAGGGAATTGAGTAGGTGTGAGTGTGTGACAGGAACCAACGCTGAAATGTGGTCAGTGACTCCAATCTGTTGCACAGAGCCAACCACTTTTGAGACATGGGCCTCCACTGCAAACAGACCGAAAATTCAGGGCACATGGGTGCAATGCACTCAACCCTGTAGGTTACTCTACTTAAAGCAAGCAAGCAAAAGCCCTCCCTATGCTAGAATCGGTCCTCTGTGATGGACATCTCTGTGACAACAAAGCTCGACAATCCCTCAAGAGACAGTTACCCTAGTGTTTTGCACCAGGAGGATCTGCGGCAAGCAGGCCGGAAAGTGAGAGAGCCATCTATCGTCTTTGAAGGAGGAACTTCTTCTTGCCGTCCCTTCTGTCGAAACTAGACGGCATGCCAATGGCACTCATCTGACAACTTTGTCTCCTTGACAATTTTTCGACACGTGACTCTCAACCCCCCTTCCCGTCCGACCCTTGAAATCAAACAGCGTGCTCTTATGATTGAACCCTGGCTCCGACTTACCCCCCCCCCCCCCCGCCCCCCTCCCTCCCCCAAAAAAAATGCAAATCCTCCAGCCCTCCGCTCAACACTTCTCACCATGTCGCCCTCTCGCCCGGTCCCCCACCTGCTGGTTGCCCTGCCAAAAGACCACGCAGCTCTGCTGGGCCTTGCACCGAGCCTCGCAATCCGAGCGCTCCATGGACTCGGTCTCCGTCTCGAAGTGGACCCCGTTCGTCAGCAGAAACCGCGCAGGGCACACGAACTGCCCGCTCACCAGCATGAAGGCCGGTGGGATGAACTTGTTACCTCAGAGGGTTTTCACTTCAGACCATTCTGCCGCAAGTAGTTCACTTTCGGTGGGAAACAAAAAAAAAATGCAAATTGTGTCTAACGAGCCTTGCTGGGGTTGAACTTTTGGCCGGGACTCGAAGAAGACCTCGGGGTATCCAACACAAGTAGAGGACCCGCCTCGCCAACCCCTTTTTGATAAGCCAAATAATGAAGCCCTGCCTGCTGGGATGCCTTGACAAGCCACCACATGAATTTCAAAGCCATGATAGCTAGGTATGCATTCAGTCACGGGGCTTAGATTAAAGCTGACTGCTGAGAAGTGCATGGGGTGGGCAACACAAGCGCCACCTTCCTCCTGCCTATGATATGTTTCTGTTCAGCTGAAGGAACCCAAGCTCCTAAAATCCTGACGCCGGATGTGTCCCCCCACTCGAGACCCTTCTACAAACAAACTGAAAGGATCGGGTCAAATTAACAACAAACCGCTCCAGAGAGTACGACGGCAACCAGCGTCGGTCGATTTATTTTCACCGCACTGCCTCAAGTGGGTGGGATCGTACCTGTTGGTCGATCTGTTTCAATCTCTGGAGTCGGTGTGCGTGTCTCTCAGACACCACTGACTCGAAAGTAAAGTACAACAAATAAAAGGTAAGCAAATGCAAGTGCATGCAAACCCAAAATGTTGTACAGCAGAGTTTCGAAGAGGGAGTGGACGTTCTCCCGTCCTCTCACTCGATGCTATAAATGCAGACCGACAGGTACTGAGGGCATGCAGTGAAAACTGGTGAGGGTGGGTGGGAAAGAAAAATTTGGCTAATTCGCCAAAATGGCGAACGGAGCATGAATCAAGCAGTGTCATCCTGCAGGCACTCAAGGTTCGAATCTGAGTGTGATTCAAATGCCTTCCGCTATCGGTTGTTACTTTTAACACAAGTGTTAACCGCAACAACAAACCGCTCCAGAGAGTACGACGGCAACCAGCGTCGGTCGATTTATTTTCACCGCACTGCCTCAAGTGGGTGGGATCGTACCTGTTGGTCGATCTGTTTCAATCTCTGGAGTCGGTGTGCGTGTCTCTCAGACACCACTGACTCGAAAATAAAGTACAACAAATAAAAGGTAAGCAAATGCAAGTGCATGCAAACCCAAAATGTTGTACAGCAGAGTTTCGAAGAGGGAGTGGACGTTCTCCCGTCGTAGGTCAACTCCCGTCGAAGGTGAAGCCGAAGGCGAACGACCTAGACAAAAGGCACGTTGAAGGCATCCTTACATCGATCAAGTCTCCTTACTGTGGACAAGATTCTCACGGGACGTGGAAGTCAAGTCGGGTTCAGGAGGAATGATTCCTGTGGAACTGTTGGAGTTCCTTTATGTCGTCAAATCCGACGGCATGGGCGAACTCAATATCGCCAATGATTTTGCACGTCCGTTTATGTAGAGCGTGCATGGGGGGTTCCAGAATCTGCCAGTGGTGCTTCGAGGCAAGGGACATGTCATGTCGACTGAAGGGGTCGGCTATATTAGCATGTGTGGGCACACGGGCAATATGCAACTGCAATTGCTGTCGGTTGTGCCATGTCCAATGTGCACCGAGCAGGCAGTTTAGTGGTTGGTGTTTCCCAACTCCCCGTCTGATGGCGTGTTTGGCCGCTTCGTTGTCGCACAACTGGAGGTATGTGTCAGTGATCCATGGTCGAAAGATCACAGGAGCGATCAACGCGGCCCATGCCTCGAGGAAATAAATGGCGTTGGTGCCAGTACTCACTTGTTGGAGTAAGTTAGGGGGTAGTGCGCCCGAGACCACGCGGGTCCTTTGTGCCTGTGGGCTGAACAGCACCGCTGCCCATCCGTTGTCGTGCGACCAATCGGGTGGCAGACAATCCTGATCCCCTGCGTCCTTGACACGCCAGACCGTCTCGCCCTGCCGGCAGAACGCGTCGGTGTATATGATTGAGAGGTCTCTGGGCCTGGTGGACAGTGGGACGCTGCGGGGTGAGCTATGTTGCAGGATATTCAGGAGGCACAGAATGGCAGCTCGAGTTGGTTTGTCGATCCGGTCGGAAGTGCTGTGTGCTTTGTGGTATAGGGCGGCTAACGCCGATCGCCCTACTCGACCGAACAGGTGTCCGGTGACAAAGTTGCACTTGCCGGCAGTGCGTCGGGCGGTGTCGTTCGACATACCTCCCTGTTCGAGACACTGAGACAGGGTGTGTGACAGTGTACGGACTCGGTCTGGGCACGGTCGAAGGGTTGCGTGTGTTGCCGACAGGTCGACATAAACCCCTTGTATTTTGTGAGAGGGCGCCGGTGGTTGTTCCTTGGATGTCTTCATATGAAATCCAAGTAGTGAGTTGAGCTTGCTGAATGAGGAGAAGGAACTGGTCGCGATGTGACTGGGTTGTATGGCCCCGTAGTCGTCAACGTAGTGCAGGGCCGGTGTGAGTGTTAGTACGCGGGCGAGTGCTGTGAGTGCATCGCCGAAGCGGTTGTAGCCCCAGACGCTGGCAGCGGAGCCGAACAGGAGTACGTGGTGGTGCCAGAGAGTTGGGCCGTCGGGTGTGATGAGCAGCACGTATGCTACCTCCGGTTGTGCGAGGGGCAGTTGACGGTAGGCGCCGTCGTGGTCGTGTCCCCACACATGTAGCGGGTGTGTGTCGTCGTGATATTGTCTCGCACATTGGATGTAGTGGTCGGGTGTGTGATGGTAGGGTTGATCGTGCATAGAGCACGTCTGGTTGTGGCCGCTGCGGCGCCAGTCTTCTCCTCTCCGGACTTTGGGTTTTCCGTCCGATCCTGTCTGTTGTATGCTGAATGCGACTGCCACAATGGGATCGCGATGTGGGATAGGAAGGAGCCGGCTGGTGTGGGGGAAAAGGTGCAGGGGTACTGTGCGAGAGGTCCAATGAGTCGGTGCCTCGAAGGGGCCGGCCATACGTCCCTGGGCCACTTCCCCCGCGATTTCGGTGGCCATAAGAGTCCAGTGGTCGTCGATCTTGTGTTGTTGTAATTTGCGCTGGATGTAGGCTTTGTTGAATGACCTGAGTTCTGCAAGGTCACATGGGTCCAGGTATTTGTGGTCGTGGCGAATGTGCCAATTGACTCCGGGTCGCAGAGGCCCCAGGAGGTCGAAGCCTAGAGAGAGTTCCTCGTGCAGGAGTTGTGCCTGTGGGTAGTTAAGCAAATGTAGCAAGTGTGTCATGAGTGGTACCTGAGTGATCATCTTCGGTTGTCGATAGGCTCGCTGGCAGTGTGGGGGCAGCTGTTCGAACCATGCAAGTGTATCCGTAGTCAGGTCATCGCGAAGGTCCGCGATGTCGAGTAACACGTTGTGCTGTAGTTGTGGCAGTTGTGGTATGGTCCTTTGCATTGCGATGGCCCACAAAATGGTCGGGTCGCAGTGCTGGGGCTGTTGCAGCGAGGTCGCGTGGTGTTTGGCCCAGGTCAAGTGGTCCTGCCAGTCGTTCTGTGGCATATGTAGCGTTTCTGATGCTCTCGGAGGTGGTCCCCATGGTCGTGGGTTGTGAAGCCAGAGGTCGACCATCATTCCGAGGGATCCGCGACGTACCCGCTGCGTGGGCGGGGGAATTCCGAAGGCTGGCTGTAGTAGCAAAAGGAATAGGATCCACATGGCTGTGGGCACATGCCAGGAGTTCCCCAGCATGGTGTTCCTGGTCCGGTCGGTGTTGTGTGGTCCCGTCCAGCCGCGCGGGAATCCCATCATTGCTTCGCGGTGCTCGGGTGTTGCGACTTGCCAGTCGTGTCCGTGTTTCCGGACCAGGTATTTCTGTTGGTATTGCCACGGGGCGAATTGTTTGTGGTCGGCTTGCCACCGTTGCCATGTGTCGTCTGGTAGTTGTTGGCTGCGTGGTGGTGGGCGGCCTTCGTCCGTACTGGCCTGGGTGGTAAGGCAGTGGAAGAGTTGTCCGTGTGTTAGGACACTCGGCGGGTCGAAGTCCCGGATGTGACAGTCTGGTTGTAGTTCGGCTGCAATGGGATTGAAGAGCACCGGTGGGAACAGCTGAGTGTCGATGGAGAGTTGCCAAGGTGTATGCCTGCTCAATGTGGCAGGCAAGGATTCCCAATCGACCGAGGCCCACCAGATTCTGGGACGAGAGATGATTTGTCCGTCGGCCGCGTCGATCAGGACTGGGCGTAGGCCCATGGAGTGGGACAGCTGGTCGAAGTCGTCGCGTACCTCGGGGTGAGGCACGACATTCTCTAGCAGGGTGAGCGATTGATGTGGCCATCTGTTCTGAATGTCGTCGCGGATGGAGAGTGCGGTGTCGAAGAGGCCGCCCTGTGAGCCAGCCCGGCCCGGTTGGTGTTGTTTAATGTTGGAGTAGTCCTTGCACGGTGGGCCACCGGTGAAGAGGATAATGTGTCTCTCGTGATTGGGTATGTCCTGGATGATCGCAGCCAGTTGTTCGATGTCAAAATCTTCTACGGCGCCCATGTGCGTCGTGGGGAAGAGTGAATGAGGTAGCTGATTGCAGGACTGATCGGTTTCCCACCGGAAACAGTGGGAGACGTTGGCGCCCAGTTGGTGCAGGGCAAGTGACACTGTGCCGATCCCGTCGAAAACTGAGAGCAGGATAATGGGCGTTTGTTGTATGAGTTGTCTGGTAAGATGGAGGCAACGCGCCGGGTCGGCTCCAGGGGACTGGTCCCCTGGGCCGTGCTGTCCCTAACGCGCCTTGTTCTTCCCGTGGGATTTGGTGCCTTTCTTGCCTTTCCCGGACCCCTTCTTTCCTTTGGGTGTGTCGCCCTTGAACGAGGGTCCTGGGGTTGTAGGCATCGAGGGGATGGCGGGGATGGCGAATTGGGTTGGTCCCCAGGTCGCGTATGGCTGGTTGTTGTATGGGTACGAAGTGGTCTGGTACCCTTTGTTGCCCCAGGTGTGCTTGCCTCTGCCCTTGGGTTGTCGATACTGGTTACTGTTGTTCTGTGGACGTCGGGTCTCTGTCCGTGGTTGTTTCTTGGCTGGTTGCGAAAGGATGTCGTTCATCGTGGTCGTG